AAAAAAACACAGATTCAGTATTCCTCAAAATGAATAAAAATAATGCAACTCAGAATATGACGCAAACCTGCAATAATTAAATGTTAAACATCACAAATATCCTTTATGTATTTAATCCCATTCTATAAAGCAATGTCTTTGTTTCTGACCTTCGGTGATCCAGTTCAAGCATACTAATAAGCAAAAATGACTCTAGACAAACATTTGTGTGTCTTTTTTTACTGCTGAAGTGTGTTGAAACATCTTCTGCATTCTACAGTACGGATGTAAATTTACTTTCCCTTCAGCCTGAGGCTTATTCATTTCACTTTTGGCATGAAAAGGCTTTTATATTTGCAAGCCCTGTCCAGGTTTAAAAAGTAACGCAAAAGTAACGTAACGCATTACTTTCCATAAAAAGTAACTAAGTAACGTAATTAGTTACTTTTTTATGGAGTAACGCAATATTGTAATGCATTACTTTTAAAAGTAACTTTCCCCAACACTGCTGATAACTGCTTGAGACTTGCATAAAAAACATTTAAAGCAAAGTTTGTTTCATTTGTATCTTTTTATTCTATTCTATTTGTCCTTTGCTTTTTTTTTATTACTGACAGTTTAATTATTTTCAATAATTGAGGACTTTTTGTTTGTTTTTTTGGAATTCCGCTGTTCTCTACAATGTAGATGTCATAGCAACTTTATTTACAGGAAATATATATTTGACATGTATCACTATCACTCATATAAAGTTTTGGTCATATGGCCCCCTCATAATCGTTTTGCCATAATCGAGCAGCCCTAATTAAAATACTATTTTCTTTTAATTAGACAACTTACAGGGTTCAGTTAAGTTAATATATAAATAATCAACATTTTGTATGTGTGTGTGTGTGTGTGTATTTATTTATATATATGACAAATGTTGTGGTCACAATTACTGTTGTTTGGTGACTTTTCGAATGTGACCTCTGTGTGAGCTAAATAGGCAATGGACTATTTTGTCTGCAAAAAGTTTGCCCAAATTTTGCCGAAATGACAGCACATTTCGACTTTTCATATTAAGGGGTGGTCACGCTACACTTTTCGTTCTATTGATTTCTATTCATAAGCATGCTAATGCAGAACCTGTGAATTTGTAACGTGTGACCAATAGATCACCTTGTAGCTGAATTAAAAGCACTCATTTAAAACTGCAGCATTGTAGGAAAGTGGAGTAGATCGTATGTTTGATTGAATTTGTTTTTAAAAAGATGCTGCAGAGTGTGACGTCATTTCACAAATGATGCAGTGTTAGAAGAAATTTCACATGCTCAAAGTCTAGTGTGATCGCAGCTGTAGTAGAAATGTCATTTTAAGCAAGTCATAAAGAATTTGATTTGTCATGACTCCACAGCACAAAATGAGGAGACGTTGAGATATTTGGCCTCCTTGTATGCCAGCAGTCATCCTTTCATGCACTTGGGTAAACTGGGGTGTACTAAAAAGTCAGGTACTTTTGAAAGACTTTCAGATTCATAGATTAAAGAAAAAATACTGCTATAATTCCATGTAATCGTGGAATCCTCATCATATCATGCTTTGTGATTTGCTATAACTCAATAGAGGAAATCCCAGGAGGTATCCTTAAGGGCGCAGATTTCAGATCGCACACTGGCAGCATGAAGGTATAGATATTTTGGATCTTCTCCTCCAGTATAGCTCTCAAATCTCATTTTCTGCATATTCCAATTTGTGTGTCTTAAAGAAAATACAAATGTTGCTCTTTCAGGACTTCAGTTTGGATGTGGGCCTTTGCCCTGAACTCACGGTGTACACTGGCTGTTGTACGTTCCCATCAGAACCTCAGCTCTTCTCGCTGTGGATGGAGAACAGACTGCCTCTTTTCCGCATGCTGCTGGAGGTGGATACATTTGAACTACCTTTACCATCTTCTCAGAATAACCATATTTCCAGGCAACTTAAACTCATTTTAATTCATGTTTAACTCCCGTTTAATCATTGAAGGTTCACAGAAGGCTGAGTGGTGTCGTGAGGGACAGTAAAGGCCGTCCGGTGTCGGATGCTGTTGTTGTGGTGAACGGCTCTATGAATGTTCATGCAGACAGTCAGGGTCGCTTCACCACTCTCGTGGCTCCAGGCACACATCAGCTGCTGGTTCAGGCCCATGGATATTGGCAAGAGCTCCAGCAGGCAGGTTCTA